GTTAATGTATTTGTAAAAACATTTTTTTACAAATTGTCTTGCAGTTTGTAAAACTTGCACTTAAATACTAATGGAAACTTTGCAGGTTCATGTTCATGATGGAAGAAGGGAGAAATTGGAAGGCTTCATGAAGACATTAATTAAATCACCGCCTTTAGATGGAAACTATGGTGTATATGCTCTGGACTGCGAGATGGTATGAGCAACCTAAAAACTTTGGTGCAGCTAATAGAACTGGTTTATGAACCAATTTCCTATCTGTAGTAGTTTGGAACTCATGTCTCCGAGGTCTGCAGAACTCTGACTAGTAACTCTACGTGACTAGACCTTCAGTCTGACTAGTCACTCTGCGTATCTAGACCTTTAGTGTTGACTATGCGGTGAGCAAAATTGTTTGGATCTGTTGAGTTGGTAGGCAGTTCTGCTTTCTGTTCAATTTGCAGAATGTAATGAAATATCATTGCTGTGTAAATGCTTGTTAAATCTACTTTTTTCTTCAGTGTTACACAACCCATGGCTTGGAACTAACTAGAGTGACAGTGGTCGATGCTAAGCTACAGGTCGTCTATGATACATTTGTTAAACCAGATGGTGAAGTTGTAGATTACGATATAAGGTAACATGTATAAGTCTGTAGTACTTCAGGATTACACTTAATAAATTAGTAGATAACTATATAAGAAGAAACATGCCTCTGTTAAATGTCTATTTCTAGTAACGTAAATCAAAGACCTTCAATCAGGAAAGATGTTTTTCTTCTTATAGGCTCAGTTAAGAATGACTTTTCTCTTTGCTTGGTTCAATTTACTTTTTTCCACATTGGAAGACTTTTTCTCTCCTTCCTTAAAAAAAATTAATTTAGAACTCCCAGAACTTGCTGAATTCCCTAAGGGGTTAGAAGCAAATGCACATTTCATCTATGAATATTGTCTCACAGAAAAGCAGTGTAGTCATAAGACATGACATGAGGCCATCAGACTGTAAAGCTTAACAAGATATGTCTGTTACTTAGTGCAGATCACTTGTATTTGGTCTTCCTATTGTGTTTTGTCTTTGAGACCTGGAAGACAAGTTTTGGATTCCTATTAGTTCTTTGAAGTCCTGCAACTGCTTTGAGAAGACCCAAGTTTTGAGGCTCACTGTAAAAAAAAAAAAAAAAAAAGTTGGAGGAGAACCAACATGATGTGTTCCTGCTTCTTAAACAGCAATATTTTTTTGCTGAGAGCCCTGCCTTTAGTCCATACTTAAAAAAACAGGATCAGTTTCTTGTAGAGCTAAGTTAATATAATCTAGCTTGGTTTTTCTTACTCTGCCTAGGTGAAAAGGAAGAGAATAGAGAAGAAGCCTTATGTTGACTTCAATACTGTGATTTCAAAGCTTGCTAGTGTTAACTTGAGAGGCTGGGGGAATGATGACTGCAAATCTAGTTCTTCTAGATATTTCTTAGTGTCTCTGTTAATGAAGCTCTTCTAAATTTGTCTTTAGGCTCTCTGGAGGAATGGAGGATGATCTGAAGAATGCCACAACATCTCTTCGGGATGTACAGGCAATATTACTAAACTTGTTCAGTGCAGATACAATTTTAATTGGACACAGCTTAGAAAATTACTTACTTATTCTCAAGGTATGATAGCCTGTTTGAAGCCAATTTTAAGAGGTGACTACTTGCCTTTTACTGTGTTCTAATTAATTTCAAAAGGGAAAATAATGTCGTGTTTTGGCAGATCAACATGTATGAAAAAAGAATTAAATGGACTTAGTGTTATTTCTGATATAGCTATTATTTAACAACTACATTTAGAGAAGGAAGAGATGTATATGCAAACACAGTGTGGTAAAGATTCTGGTTTTTGGGTGTCGTGCTTGACTGTTTTGTGCTTCTAGCTGTGCAACCATATATCACTACTGAATAATATTGTCTTTATTTCTGGGTTCACAGAAATTTAGAATTGTATGTTTTCTGATCTTGCTGAACTCATGCTGGCAAATGCATAAAAGGCAGTGACAATTCAAGTAGTACTAAGGCATTGCTCTTAGACTCTCTGTAAATAATTTTTCTGCCTGTCAGGTAATTAAACCTTAAGTACCAGAAATGCATAGATTATGCTATTAGATATCAAAGGCATCAATATTCCGTAAGAACCATAACCATCTGCTCAGGAAGGCTCAGGGAATCTTACCAATGTATATAAATACCTGAACAGAGGATGTGAACCAGGCTTTTCAGTGGTGCCCAGTGCTAGGACAAGAGGCAGTGGGCACATACTGAAACACAGGAGGTTCCCTCTGAACATCAGAAAACACTTTTTCACTGTGAGGGTGACCAGGCACTGGCACAGTTGTGGAGTCTTCCACCTAGGAGGTGGAAGCTCAGAAGCCATCTGGACATGTTTCTGGGTAACCAGCTCTAGGTGGCCCTGCTTGAGCAGGAGGGTTGGACAAGGTGACTTTCAGAAGTGCCTTCCAACCTCAATGATTAGGTCATTATTACTAATGAAAGAATTAGAACTTACCTCTGATAGGCTTCCCTGCTATTGATATCTAAAGGCTCAAGCAAATGAGACTTTGTAGTATAGTATTGGCTGTCTAAAACCTGAATGAATCACATTCACTGTGTGTATATATAACTAGTGAATAAATGTCAGTGCAGTAAACAGAAATCACTGCAAAGCGTGATTTTTCCCCAGTTCTTGCCCGACAGCTTGCCAGTCTAAAAAGAATAAGAAAAACACAAGACAGATGATGTGATACTTGGGGCTCAAGGATTAATTTGGGCATATTATTGAGGAAGGAAATTATTTAGATGCTAGATGGTATTTCTTTAATTAGTAAAGGAGGTGCAAGACTGTAACTGGATGTGTAATCATTACTGTGGCCTCTATTTTCCAGCTAATTCATGACACAGTAGTGGACACATCAGTAGTGTTTCCTCATCAGCTAGGTTTGCCTCACAAAAGAGCACTTAGAAGTCTGATGGCTGACTACCTTGGGAGAATTCAAGATGGTGGTAAGAGTGCCGGATCTTATTAAGCAATTGGTATATTGCATTGTGAAATGGGAGACGAGAATAACCCAGAAAACTGACACGGTAGTTATCCAAGACAAAGCTTTAAAGGACAGCAAATGTATACCTTTGCTTCAATAGTATAGTGACAGCAGAGGATATGCTGGAGAGTAAGATGGCTGGTGTTGTGGTTGACAACTCTGGATGACAATGGGCACCACACAGCTGCTCACTCATTCCAACCCCCTTGCCCCACCTCCCAGTACAGTTGGCTTGTCAGTGTCAAAGAGTAAACCTGTAAGTTGTTGGCTTTTAAGCTTTGACTAAACGTGTAAAAAAAATGTAGAACATATATAACTTAAATCCTTTAACTCTATTCTGTTTGCATTTTGTGGAACGTTTCAGTGGATCAGGACAAGTAGATGTTCCTTAATTAAGCAAATTTGAAATTTACCATTTAGTTGCAAAATCAGCTTCTTATCTGTTACGGTTTCAAATTCTGATTTGAAAGTACGTGACTTGGAGAGGCTGATTTTCCAAAGACAGTTATGTTGGATACTCAAGCTTACTAATCCAGGCTGAATATTGCCAGACAATACTGACTGCTATAGAAGTATGTGGTAATTACCTTGAATGCTGGTAGTAAGAAGTTGCACCAAAAACTGTCTGAATACTAAGTATTAATATTATCAACAATTGTTCAGCTTAATAAACAAAGCTTCCATTCTTTTATAGAGAAATGCGTAATCTAACACTTCTAGTTTTTTGTTTGTTCTTCTCTAGTCGGTGGTCATAATTCCAGGGAAGATGCAGTTGCTTGTATGGAACTAATGCTTTGGAAGGTCAAGGAAGACAATAAATGGAGAAAATGGTGATTACTATGGCTTTGGAGGAACAAGATGTGGGAGGGGGAGGACGAACCTCAAGTCTCACTGCTCTGTAGTGCTTCAATACCAGTCATTTTTCTGATGTAAAAAGAGGACAATGAGAAAATGTAATGGAAAAACTTGCCTGTATCTACTTCTGAAGCTAAAGATGCACAGGAATGAGAAAACACATACATAAAATACATATGAGTAAGATGTGCAGAGTAAATTTGTGTTAAACAGCAAGCCCATCCATTTTTTTCTGCTTTGTCGAGAGTGTTATTTCTGTTATCATCTTTACTACTCTGCATAGCTGAAAATTATAATTTGCAGTAAATGGAAGTACTGATTGTTTAAAGTTCTGGGTAGAACTTTTGATTTTATGTTCTTCATCCTCTGTGCAATAAAACTCAAGTTTCTGCTGTGTGGTTAAAGTTCAAAGTTGTTTTCTTTTTCCTTTTTCCTTCCTGCTTCTCTCTACTTCTCCATCTGCTTTCAGAGAGAGGAAACAAGCCTAGCCACACTTAATGTACTAACTGACACAAAAAGGCATGATAGTAAAAATGTGACCTCTTCTGGAGCAGAATAAGCTGGTCTCTGTTAAATAATTTGAGTGTCTAGGAAGCTCTTCAACTGTAAAAGCAATAAGCTTTGCTGACTTACAAAGGTTCCCAAAAAGTAGAGTATTTCAAGAAGTAAATACATTCACTACTTCAACTAAAATTGGACTATACTCCAAGATATAATTCCCTGTCTCCTGCTTAAGGGAGGATTCAGCATCTGTGACCTTCAGAGAGGAGTATTTTTAAGTCTGTTGCCACTTATTTTTGTGTGAAGGAAACAGAAGAAAATTAAAATATAAGAATGGACCACTTTTTTTTTTTGTACAATACTAGCTCTGAGCTGAAGTTATGCTTTGAACTGATTGGCCAAAGAAAGCTGAGATTGAGGGAGAACGGTCTTGACCGTGGACCCTGTAAGACAAGATCAGTAGTGTAAAGATGATCTCACAGTTCTTGCAGGCACACCCTGAAGACTGAGTACACTACATGACTAAAACTTTAATGAAACTGAAAAAATCACTGTAGCTGCTTCTTGCGCATTAAAGTACTTGGGAGTTCTGTTGTGTTCCATGAGATAGAGACAGGTGTATATTCTGGTGTATGTATCCTGTATCTGCTGCTCAGAATATAAAAAAAAAAGCTGCTGATTTTCCCTCACCCAAAAATAGGTAATACTTCTTTCTATATTGGCAGAACAGTTCTGTATACAGGTGCTACTGCAGCTTAGGGAAGGGGCCTTGGCATGTTCTTTACGGAGGGAATAGACTTGCTCATGGATCCTCCTGGCTTTGAAAGTAGGTCTTTTGAATGAAGATTCCATTTATTCGTTGGCTTTGAGTAAACCTAAGGAAAGAGATGAATGTCTACTCTGTAGAACACTTTATACTTAGAAGAAAAACCTGTGTTAGTCATCCAACAAGCTATTAACAGTGACCAAACTGGTACCTCTGAGGCTCTATAGGCCATGTAAGGAATCTCCATCATCTGGCTTGTCCTCTTCATAACTTCTTCTTGTAGCTGACTATTTGATTATTACAACTAAATGGATAAAGTACTGTGCACAATAAGTAAAATAATTTTAGATGCTAACTTTTTATAAGAATAGCAAAATAAAACAGGCTTTTAATGCTGGAGGTAAGATCTCAGCAAAACTGAAACGTGATGTGTATATAGGTGCAGTTAATAATTGGAGCAGTGACTTAGATCTGAGTCATCTCTGTTGTCTCTCTGCTGCTCTCTTCTCTTTTCTCTTTCCCGCATATACTTATGATATAGTTTTGACTAGGGCAAAACCTGACCCAGGATCTTCAGGAGCTGGAAGCTTAGTTTGTGTTTTGGATATATGAGAGACTGGTGTGGTCTGATTGGACCTCTGCAGTTTACGGGAGGACTTGCTGGAACTATCAGCTCCTACTGTGGGACCATCACCACCTGTGCCATATATTGCACTACTACATAGATAGATGAAAGAGCTCTGAAGTATTATAAGGAAACATAACACTAGGTTTGCTTGTTTTGAGGATTTTGACTTAGAGCCTGGAACAGTTTTGCTTACTTTTTCCAGCTGTTTAATCAGCATTCCCCTGTGTCCAACCAGCTGCCCTGCACATGGAAATGGCTGATCAGTACGTGACTGGGGGAAAGGCAAAGTGGTGCACTGGAAGCAGTGAATGTTGTGTACCAGCACAAGTAGGGAACTAGCAGCAAGAGGGAAAAGTGTTTGACTACAGCTAAACTATGCCCTGGTAGTTTGGTTGCTCATACTCTTTAGCTGGGCTGCTGCTTATTTTCTGTGTTTCCCTTCCTCCATCTCATGGAGTTCACAGAATCACAGTATAGCTAGAATTGGAAGGCATCTGGGGAGATCATCTCATCTAGTCCTCTACAGTGTCAGGTTTTTAATATCTCTAAGGCTGGGTTCTGGTTTTGTGTGGGGGGTTTTTTGGTAGCAGGGAATGCCCCTGTGAGAAACAGTGCATGGAGCAGGGGCAGTCCTGGGCAGGGCCCAGCCCAGCCTAGCCTGGCCATCCAGCTCCTGCCCAGCCTCGGCTGAATCCGATCCCCCACTGCAGCTTGAGCCTCTGCTGCAGCTCTGGCCCAGCCAACCCAGCGCAGCCCCTGCCTGAGAGCCGGGAGTTTCTCAGGAGCCAGAGAAAGAACCTGCGTTGTAGAGAGAAGTGGGGTGTGAGAGAGACAACTACACAGACACAAAGGTCAGTGAAGAGAAAGGAGAGGGAGGAGGTGCTGGAGCAGAGAGTCCCCTGCAGCCTGTGGAGGACCCCACACTGGAGCAAGGAAGAGTGTGAAGAGCTCTCCCTTGAAGGGGAGGGAGCGGCAGAGACAACAATGTGGTGGGCTGACCACAGCCCCCATTCCCATCCCTTCTGCGCCACTAGCAGGGAGAAGGTTGAGGAATCGGGAGCAAAGCCTTTGGGCCCAGGAAGAAGGGAGTGGTGCCTTTTTAAGATGTAGTTCTCTTTCTTGTTATTTTATTCTGGTTTTGATTGTTAACAAATTAAATTGGTTTTGTGTTTGTGTTCTGTCCACAGAGAAATAAGAATTAGCTATCCCTGTTCTTTAAGACCAGATGTGTTCTTCCTTTTGGGTTACTGAGGAGTGAGAGGAGTGCAGCCATTGAGTGGGTTAGCTGAGTTCAGACATCCCCAAGGGTAGTTGTACCTTATTTTTCAGACAATCTAAGTACAGTGAAGATGCTTGTTTGGTGTTTTTGTTACCCTTCCCCTCACAATGGTATCTAGTGAGCTTTCCATTATACTACCCAGTGATGTCTGTTCTCAGATAATTTATTAGCTTTCCTGCCAAGCACACTGTGTTCTGTAGCTCTTGAGTTTTGCTTGGACATTTTAAGTACTTTTTGTTTGGTCTGCACTCAGACTGTTGAACAATCAGAACTGTTGCCCTAAGTGGAAATTGAGGATAGTGAGGTAGAAGTTGTGTGGAGGCTTTGCTTTTGCCTTTTTTTTTTTTCTTAAAGCCTTCTCCTCTGATCTGGTGTCTGTTAACTTCTTTTTAAGCTATAGATAACACTTGATTGTAAGCAGTTACCTGCCATTCTGTGTCACATACTCCTCAAGGCATGGCCCACTCCACTTGTCTGAAGTGCTGCTTTAATTTCCCAACCAAAAACTTGTACTCAGTATGAGCTTGGTAACTGTAAGTGAGAGAATATGGGAAAACTAATGGTGTGATGTCAAAAAACAACATCAGGAATAACTGATGATACTCTAAGCTTGTGCATAGATGTTGACAGGTGTAAATAGGTGGAGGCATATAAAGAATGTTAGGACGTGGGATACTTAGAATAATGGAAAACTGTTGACACTGGTAGCATTATCCTCTTTACAGCAAAGAAACAAACAGAAGACACTTGGAAAAGAGTAGATATGGGATCTGTTGCATTGTGCTGGGGAAGGCACAACATACTTATGCTAATGATTAAACTGAAAACCTTTATACGCTACCTACTTATGCTAATGATTAAACTGAAAACCTTTATACGCTACCTACTGCCATAAATCGGGCTTTCCAGCACTGGATAGCTAGCAGTAAAATCTAGCTATTGAACCTGGGATACCCCGTGCATATTGCAAGTATAGAAGCAATTTGTCTGTCTGAGACTGACAAAACTAGTGGATGTTTGTCCTGGTTTTGGCTGAGACGGAGTTAACTTTGTTCGTAGTAACTAGTGTGAGGCTACATTTTGGATTTGTGCTGAGAAGGCTGATAACACACTGACGTTTATAGCTGCTGCCAGGACAGTCAAGGACTTTTTGGCTTGCTGTGCCAGTGTCTGCAGGTGCAGGAGAAGCTGTGAGGGAGCACAGCCCCAGTAAATAGCCTAGGATTCGACCTTAGGTTTAGGACTGAGACCCAAATTGGCCAATTGTCTATTCCATATTATGCACGTCATGCCCAGTATGTAGATGAGGGCTCTCCGGAAGTATTGTGTCTTGGTCGTCTCTCTCGGTCATCTCTCTCTCTCGAATGCTTGGGCTCTTCTCCATTTTCAGGGAGTGCAGTTTCGAGACTCTCCCTGCTCTGCGATCATTAGCTGGGAACAGACTGAGCCTTGGTCATCAGCTGGTGAGCAGTTATCACTGTGTATCACTCGTTTATATATTTGTATATATTAC